GATATAAAAGCCCAAATTCCAGAAAAACTTATCTTGGCACATGCTGGTTTGCTTGGGATACCCTGGATGCCCATCTGTGGTTAAACAATCCAAATCTAAAGGTCCTTCTCAGACCCACTCCCCCTCTCCACCGAGAGGGACATCTCATCTTCACCCATCAGTCAAGATTAGTTTAGCAATAGCCCAGCTTCTGGTCTAGAACAACCCAAGTGACACCAGGGACAAAGATGTACGGGGGAGGTGGTGAGATTTGATGACATGTCTCGCGTAAGCTGAGAAGCTGCAAATGAACGGGATACATACACTTGAATTAATGGAGAAAGTATGAGAGCTCTTTGTCATTAAAGGGGCTGCTTTGGATAGCAGTTGGAGACATATTTAGAATTTCTGAGAGAAGCACTTTCATACTCATCGTTCTCATTTTTTTTGTTACTCTTCTTCTTTTTCCTTCTCTTTTTGTTTGTTTGCTTGGTTGGTTGCAAGTCTTAGCTGATTCTCTTAACTAGAAGGGTATCTGCTAACACAAAAGTCAACAAACTCACAGGAGACAAAAGACATTCTTGGTTTGATTGCTCCTCATAAATGTCAGTGCTTCCAGACCACATAATGTCATAGAGTTATTTGTAATGCTTCTTTAAAAGGGTGACAGGGTTCAGAAATAAACTGCACATGGTAAGAAGAGCCTCCCATGGGTTATCCCTGCAAAATGAGTTGCAAGGCTTTGGGAGTGGTGGTGGTTTCCGGCCATTAGCGTTACTAATCAAGGCCAGCTTTGCATTTATGGAAATCTACACAAATCAGGAAGATACATGCTATGTTCACTCAAGCAACCCTGCCTGATTTCTTCAAGGTTATGCTCAAACAAAACTTTACTCCAATTATCTTTGATTGGAATGCTTTATTATTTTTATATATCCTAGAGATAGAGTCCATGAAGTAGATGCATTAGGTCCATGGGTCACAAAAAGCATATTTAGTGCTTCATGCCCACAGAAAGCAATTACTGTCAACTCTCAATTAACCTCGTTATCAGAGGAAGCATTAGTGGAGACAATACAAATCCTAGATAACCTACCCATGTCTTTCTGGCTGCCACAGTTGCAGCTGAGGAGAGAGAGAGAGAGAGATAATGGGTGCGCCAGGCAAAGCTTGGGGCTCAGAGGTCTCTTCAGGAAAATTTGAGCAGAGGTGCTACTCTGCCCCCTTATTATGCCCCCTGCCTTTCTGCCCTGCACTGGGAAGCAAAAATAACATTACTTTCCCTGCAAATTTTGGGCTGACAAACAAAAGGTGAGGCGCAAAGGAAGACAGGAGACAGTGGGGTGAGGGGGAGGTAAGCTGCGAGGCCGGCAATCACTGGCAGTCAGAGCCTGGAGGCCTCTGGGGACCACAGGCAGGTTCTAAGTGGGGGCTGTGCACCCTGCTCCTTAGGAAGCTCCAGCCATGCCCAAGGCTCTCAGGGCACAAGGCGAGTGCTCGGGTGTTTTGTCCTTTCAGATTTCTACTGTGTCAACCAACATGGTAAAAGGTGTTTAATTACAAATATCATAATTAATCGTTTGCACACATGATAAGCATTCTTACACCACAGATGCCTACGGGTATAAGGACATGCCCATCAAATCAGGTCCCAGGCATTGATGTTACTCCCATCCTTCAGACGAAATGTCCCAGGCCAGGAGCCACAGGAACAGTAAAGATGACACCTCTTCATGGGATTCCAAGTGGCTCTACTCCAGAAAGGGATTGCATTTTAACAAGGAAGAAAAACTTCAGTGATAAAACCACACTGAAATTCCAGACCCTGGTGAGCAACTGGGGGTACAGGGGAGGCACAGGAGGGGCAGGGGAGAACCTCAGAAGTCACAGCAAAGACAAGGGCACACCAGAAAGGAAAGATAGGAAATTAACTTGGGGAAAGAAAAGTGAAAAATCATAAAATTATGTTTTAATAAAGAAACAGTTTGTGTTAAAATGTTTATAAAGAGACACATTTGTGTCCTTTGTAAATATGATTTTGCTATAAAATGAATGGAGTCTGGCTGGAAAGAAGCCATGTATCAGTTTTTTGCCTCAGAATAAATTTCTGTTTATTAGCTTGAGAAACTGGGGAAATAGATGCAAAAAGTCAAATGACAGTAAGAAACAGTGGAAAACATAAGATTTCTGGGGAATATTGTCCAGATTCTTCCCAATACCAAAGAGAAATGGAGACAGAGAGACACAGAGAGAGAGAGAGAGCAATTTAAGAGAGGGACTTCAGAAAGTACAACCCAGCAATCGCACTACTGGGTATTTACAAAGATACAGATGTAGTGATCCGAAGGGGCACCTGCACCCCAATGTTCATAGCAGCAATGTCCACAATAGCCAAATTATGGAAAGAGCCCAGATGTCCATCGACAGATGAATGGATAAAGATGTGGTATAAATATACAACGGACTATTACTCAGCCATCAGAAAGGATGAAATCTTACCATTTACATCGACGTGGATGGAACTGGAGAGTATTACACTGAGTGAAATAAGTCAGTCAGAGAAGGACAATTATCATGGGTTTCGCTCACATGTGGAATATAAGAAACAGCGCAGAGGATCATAGGGGAAGGGAGGGAAAACTAAATGGGAAGTCATCAGAGAGGGAGACAAACCATGAGAGACTCTTGATTCTGGGAAACAAACTGAGGGCTGCTCGAGGGGAGGTGGGTAGGGGGGATGGGGTAACTGGGTGATTGGCATTAGGGAGGGCACATGATGAAATGAGCACTGGGTGTTATACACAATGAATGAATTATTGAACTCTACACCTGAAACTAATGATGTAATGTATGTTGGCTACCTGAATTTTAAATGAAAAAAAAAGTTGATTTTTAAAAGGCAAGTGGTTGTAAAAGGGAAAGTGGCTCATAATAACAGGGAAGATTATGAAAAATGTAAATATTGACTATAAAATATCAGTGGGTACGCCAAAAATAAGAGTTAAAGAAATAAGTGAAGCTGCTCATCTGATTGATTCATTATTCTTTAAATTCTTCTGTGAAGCTCATCAGGTAGGGAAGGTGCATACATATGCAATGAAATGTTATGTTGTGACTTCTGGGTTAAAAGGGAGGGGTGAAATTAAAGGTATAATTACTTCTTGTCCCTTTTTCAAAACACAGAGAAAACAACAAAAATAGTGAAACAGAGGGAAGTATCAAATGTCATCAAACAAACAAGCAAACAAAAAGTCCCCCATCCTTTTTACAAACCATGAAGCATATAAGGACCAAATTCAGGAAGGACACTGAAAGCTGACAAATATCTCAAGTCTCAAGCAGGTGCAAAAAGTTTCTGGCCAAAGTAATGTCAAAAGTGTCTAAAGGGCGTATGCAATGTGTTTTTGATGAGAGTGGTAAGAGGCACAGTTTAAGCCCTAGAGGCACAGTTTGATATGGCATAACAGAGGGAGAGGCAGAGCTAAGAGAAAATGTGTTAATATTGTATTCCTATTTACTTTTGTATTGTGTTACTGTATTCCTTCTAGCCAAGGAAGACTTCCAGAGGCAATGACATGCCTATAGAAATTCCAAGGGAATAAGCCAATAAAAAGAAACAAAAAACACACAGACTTGGATTTTCTAGATAATTCTTTCATGCACAGAGTATAAATCTTTATACTTTGTGCCAATGGAAATTTTCTCTTAGATGATTATTCTGATAGAAAGTATTTGAATTTTAGATGTCAAGTCCAAAGAAGGAAATAAATAATATGGAAAGCATCTAACTGTGTCAGGTTAAGCAACAGAATTTGAGAGATTTGCTAGCTGGTTTCAATCTGAACACCCATTTAGGTTTTCAAAGGAAAAAGACGAGGGAATGAGCAGAGGAGTATGACCAGATTATCAGAATCACTTTGTGTTGTTTTCAAGAGCTAAGGACTACTTCATCCAAGAAAATATAATTCAGTACATAGAAAAAGCAATTCAGTGGTGGTCTGGGTGCTCACTAATTGATCTTAGAACAAGCATCTTCTACCAGCTATAGACCTGGAAGGATTTAAAAAATCCTGACTCTGCCTACCATGGACCTCAGGCTTGATACACATGCTAGACCAGACCACCTGGGCTTCTTTTTTTCCTATATGTTGGCTGGCAAAGGAAAGTTCTGATTTGAATTAGGTAACACGCTCTTCCTTGTTTTCACAATTTGAGATTTACAGGAGTTCTCTCCCTCTTTTCCTGGTGATCCACAGGTTAAAATCGATAGAATCTCATGGGGCCCTGGTCCTTTAAAGAAACATGGGTTATGGATGGACAATGGATGATTAATGGACTTGTGAAGGAAATCAAGCAATGGAGGGAATCTAACAGAAAATAATGAAAATCAATGAAGCCAGAACAGACCCAAAACATGAAGCCGCATTTACTTAAGTGGTATTAGCCAATGGCATAATCGGGTGAGCGAAGCAGTATGAGCCAATGCTGACTTCCTCTCTCAAGTTCAAAAAATACTAGAATGGTCATAGACCCAAGGACCATACATTTCGAGTTTAGGCTGCTAAAGAAACTGCTGTGGGTTGAATGTGTCTCCCTAAAATTCATAGGTTGAAGTCCTACCCCCCCCCCCCGCCAGTACCCAGGAATGTGACTGTATTTGGAGGTAGGGCCTTTAGAGAAGCAGGTAAGGCTAAATGAGGTCATTGAGGGGCCCTAATCTGATATGACTGATGTCCTGATAGGAAGAGGAGAATAGGACATGGACACACATGTGAGGAGAGCATGTGAGGACACAGGGAGAGGCCACTTACAAGCCAAGGACAGAGGCCTCACAAGAAATCAACCTTGCAGATGCCTTGATCTCAAACTTCTAGTCTCCAGAACTGTGAGAAAATAAATGTCTGTTGTTTAAGCCCCCAAGTCTGTGGTGCTTTGTGACTGTAACACTTCTTTTTCTCTTAGAAGTCTGAAATAAGACCCAAATTTCTTTTGTGGTTAGATGCATTCTAAATCATACTCACAACCCCAACAGGAAAGGCCAGGACAGCTAACATCCAGTCCCGGAGCGAGATGAGCTTCTTGAGCTGCCTTTCTTGTTCTTGGTTCCCACTTCCTCTAGTCAGGAGACTGGAAAGATCAGTCAGCACGCAAATGCCAAAAAAGACAGCCTGGATGACCTGGAGGGAGACAACAGCTGGCGTTAGCTCGGAAGATCTAAAGAGGCCACAGCTGTAGGACAGCGAGCGAGCAACAACTTTGCAACATGACATATGATAAGAGAAGATCAGGAGCATATTTAAAAAGCTGGCCCTACAAATAAGAAAAGAGTAAGATATTTACAAATTGCTATCATAGGTGAGAAAATTCATCCTAAAAACACTGCTTCCATTTTTGCTCACCTCAGGACCAAATGCAAAGTAAGCATGCACATACATGTCTAAGTAGGCCCGATAGAAAACAGTATATCAAATACCCTAACGACATGTCCATTATTTTGAAAATACCGTATCTGTAATGTAGTTATATTGACTAGTGGGGTTTAACAAACACCGAAGCAGCTCAAAGAAAAGAATCAAGGTAGCCTGAATAATAATTGAGACATTTTGTCTGATGTGAAGAACTCTTCCTATGATTTAATCTCCTAGATTCAGAAATTTTCTCGCCAAAGGTAGTAGAAAGCTTCTAGTCCTTGAGTCATAAAGAAATCAACTGAATGCAATAATCAAAACTGGTACAGAGCGATTTTCTGCTGTCAAACCTAAACGATATGATTTCCTTCTCAGGTTTTCTGTTTCTATGAAATAAAAATCTTCCCCAAATAATATAAACAGAGATAACCCACACCATATTCCCAAAAAAGCTTTCAGTTTTACATTCCCAAATCAATTACAAATTAAATTACTTACATCAGCTACGTGTAACTTGGACTATCATGGGGGAGGACACTGAAACACTACAACTGAGTAATCTGTGAAATTCATAAAGTGGGGGCAAAGGTATTGATGATCCAGAGCTGTGAGTAGAGGCAGGAAGCATACTGTCATATAGTTTAGCAAATGAAAATTCAAATTATGGAAAGGGCAGAAAGTATATTCCCTGGGCTCAAAGTGACATCCATTTAGCACCAAGAATAGATTCAGGGTAATTTTTCTGGTTTCTTCTACCAGAAATCATTTATTGATGGTATATTTATAAAAGAAACAATTTTACTCATTACCTCTTTAGAAAACAACAAAAAAAGTTTTGTGTAAATGTCCATGTTGGCAATGGAAGGAACCTGTGATTGAACCTGTGATTGAGTGGATGAGTTCCTCCCTGAGGCACAGAACAAAGGGAAGAAGGACCCTCAAAATCTTGCGTTTCCATCCTTTAGCATAGCACTGGCACACTCAGATTGCCAATCATTCTGTTCAAATTCTTATCTAAGCCATTTTGAAAATTCTGAATAATGGAGATGCCATTGTTGGCCTTAGTCAAACAAACAAATCCTGAAATATTTTTACATATAATCCAATCACTGTGGTCTTCCAGGCTCACCAAATCCTGCCATTATTAGCCAATCTTATCTAGAATGATGTTCTATTCCTTCTTATAACTTAGCCTGTCTTTTAGCTTCAATGACTTAAGGTTTATTTGTTATTCTTTCTACAACCAGAAAAACCAGAGTGGGAGAAGCTGAGTTTGCCATAACTGAGCATGGTCCAACTGAAGGCTTGGCAAGAATCATGGTGTGATGACCAGAATTAATTTCAATGACTCAGGGAATAATTTCACACTTAGGAAAACTTTCCATACCATATCTTATCACTTTAGATGTTTGATCTTTATGTCAACCTTAAGGGGTTTTTGAGAAATTGGGAGTAACCAGGCTGGGGAATAATAATCTCCATGCCAATTTGGCCAGTGAACATATTAAAAGGTGTCCTACATGATCAATTACCAGGGAAATGCAAATGTAGATGACAATGAGATAGCATTTCTCACCCATATAATTATCTATAATTTAACTCTGACAATACCACTGGTCATAAGGATGTAGAACAACTGGAAACCCTATGGTGGGAATGCAAATTGGGACAACCCCTTTGAAGAATACTTGGCAATATATAGTGACTTAAAGATGCATATACTCTATTATCTAGTGACTTCATTACAGAGGTATTCCCTTGCTGAAACTCTCATACATGTGTTCTTGTCACATGCACACAAAAGTTAATTTCTGCATTCATTGCTTCAAAAAATCAGCCTATATGTCTCAATTATTGACTGGATAAATAAACTGTGCTATACAATGGAACTCTAAGTACATATCAATTTTTCATTCTCACAACAAAACATTAAACAAGAAAAGGAACCCCCCAAAATGCTACATTTTGATAGCATTAAAATAGATTTCAAAAAATTGTAAAGATTATTTTAAGGATGCACGTATATAAAGTAAAATATGAAGAAATGCATGGAATTAATAGCACTGAATTCAGGTACCTCTACAAAGAGGTAAGACTTGTGGCGTCTGGGTGGCTTAGTCGTTTAAGCGTTGGCCTTCTGAGCCGGTAGGGATCCCAGGGTCCTGGGATCAAGCCCTGCCCCCTTGTTGACTCTGCCTGTTTCTCCCTCTCCCTCTGCCCACCCCTGCTTGTGTGCTCTCTTTCTCATGAATAAATATTTTTTTAAAAAAGGAGGATAAGACTGGAGGAAGGACACAAGGGCCTCAACTGTATCAATAATATTTTATTTCTTAAATTGATAATTTAGGTATATAGAAGTTTATTGTATTATTTTCTATGTACTTCATTATTATGAAATATTGCCAAATAACTTAAAAATAAAAGGTAAAAAGAATGGTTTTCATATTTTGGGGATGTAGTTGGCTAATCTCTTTCAGTTGTTTTCCTTCTAACTCAGTTTCCTCTATTTTAAGGTTGGGCTAGCCGGTTTTAGTGAATTTTAAAATTTCATGATCAAGTAACTACTACCAGAGTTGCCTTCCCACTATAAACAACTAGACATTTGGACTAAATATATAAGTCAGCTTTTTCATATATTGAACTTTTCCCTCTGCAATCAGCCAAGTAAATCTCTTTTTTTAATTAAATGGCTCACCTCATAAGGTCAGGCCCACCTTGAATAATTCTCCTTTTGCCACATAAAGTAATGTAATTACAGAGTGGTTGTATTCACAGGATCTACCAAAACCCCATGGGAGGAGATTATACAATGATGAATATCACTGAAAGTCACTTTATTATTCTACATACCACAAGCTGTGGGTTAAACAATTTTCAGAGCTCACTCAGAATAGGGAGTTATTCAAGTTCTGACCAGAGAGGACTTACTGACTACAACAAGCATTCAGTAGAGACCTAAGAAATTTATCACCTAAATAGTGATGCTAAAGTAGCCTTCAAATAAAGGCTACTTTACATCCACCCCAACAACACTTAAAAACAAGCATTAAAAAAAAAACAAAAAAAACAAACCTGAAGCCAATCTACAAGTAACTTAAATACCTGCAAAAACAAAATTCTACAATTTTTAAAGGAATATACCAAAATCCAAACATTCAACAATATCTAACATTGTAATATTCAACATCTAATCAAAAATTACCAGACTTTCCAAGAAGTAAAAAAATCTTTAACCAAGAGGAAACCAATTAAATAAAAACAAATTCGAAATGACAGAAATATAAATCACTAAATTAAAGTAAGTTCAAGAAGTTAAATGAAAATAATGAGTGAAAATAAAAAAGATATTAAAAAGAACCAAACAGGGGGCACCTGGGTGGCTCAGTTGGTTATGCAGCTGCCTTCAGCTCAGGTCATGATCTCGGGGTCCTAAGATTGAGCTTACATTGGGCACTCTGCTCAGTGGGGAGTCTTCTTCTCCCTCTCCCTCTGCCCCTCCCCCCCACTCGAGCTCTCTCTCTCTCAAATAAATAAAATCTTTAAAAAATAAAATAATAATAATAATAAAAGAACCAAACCGAACATTTAAAAATTAAAGACATTGCCTGAAACTTAAAAGTCACTGGGTGGAAATAATATCAAATTAGACACTGCAGAAGAAAAATTTAAAAATTGAATATATAGCAATATAAATCATCCAAAATGAATCAGAGAAAGAAAAAGATTTTAAAAATCAACAGAATCTCAATGAACTGTGAGAAAATGTCAAGCAGACTAACCTATGTGTATTGGAGCCCTAAAGGAGCAAAGATGGAGGCATGTAGAAAAAGTATTAGAAGAAATAATGGCAAAGTTATTCCAAAACTTCATTAAAACTATAAACCTACAGATCCAAGAAATGAAACAAATGGAGTATACATAAAGAAAACCACATCAAGGCATAATACGATCAAACGCTGAAAACCTGTAACTCTTAAAAGCCACTGGAGGGGGGCACTTGGGTGGCTCAGTCAGTTGAGGGTCTGACTCTTGATTTTTGCTCAGGTCATGATCACAGGGTCCTAGGATCCAGCCCCACATCAGGCTTTGCACTCAGCAGGGAGTCTGCCGGAGGATTCTCTCCCTTCTCCCACTCACGCACGCATGTGCTCTCTCTCTAAAATAAATAAATCTTATCTTAAAAAAAGCCACTGGAGGAAAAAGACATATCATATTCAGAAAAATAAAGATAAGAAATTTCACAGACTTCTCAAGTAAAACAACACAAGCCAGAAATCAATGGAATGATACCTTAAAGCCCTATAAAGGGAAAAATTTCTCAAAGGTGAAAGACTTTTTCAGACTAACAGAAGCTGAAAGAATTTATTGTCAATAGATTTCACACAAGAAATGTCAAAGGAATGGAAAACACGATACCAGATAATAACTTCAAATCTATACAGAGCAATGATAATTGCTAAAAATAGTAAATATGTTGATAAAATATAAAAGATTTATCTTTTATTTTATTTTATTTTTGAAAAGATAATTGACTAGTTAATGCAAAAACATGAGAACACATTGTGAGGATTGAAACATATTTAAAAATAAAATTATGGGGCGCCTGGGTGGCTCAGTCGTTAAGCGTCTGCCTTCCGCTCAGGTCATGATCCCAGGGTCCTGGGATGGAGCCCCGCATTGGGTTCCCTGCTCCACGGGAAGCCTGCTTCTCCCTCTCCCACTCCCCCTGCTTGTGTTCCCTCTCTCGCTGTGTCTCTCTGTCAAATGAA